GAGTCTCGAAACTTTTTGTAGCATGCAAATAGTTTACCCTTGCCTGCCCCCCTAAACAAAATGGCTACAAACTTGCTGGAAATTGGGCAAGAATCCCTGCTTTTCTAAAAGGTTAAATTAAACCCAATAAAAAAAATTATGCATGCCTTATACACGTTGTTTTTTAAATAATTTATATTATAAAATATGGGTACACAAATTTTAAAAACTGTTATTTTAATAAAGCAAATTTTTAAATTTAACTGTTGCAGTTCTAGTCCAGACTTTTTTACGCTGTGTATTTTATTTTAAAAATAAAAATATTGTTTAAGAGCATATTTTTCATTATTTGTCAAATAAATATTACAAATGCTAAAAACAATTTGAACCAAAAATATAAAAAAATAGATTCATACACTGTGCTTTTGAACAAAAACAATTGTTTTTACCTACAGGGTGTATTTTTTATTTTCTTATAAAATGCCTTTTAAACTTGTATTAATGGCAAAAACTGTTAATAATATTATAATAATTATATTCAATTTGAAATACCCATATGGGTATTTCAAATTATCAACATATGTTGTTGCCCTTTTGTCCCTCCATTTGATTTTCTTTTATGTTTTATAGTACCTACCTATATTTCTGAGCCAAAAAGGAAATAGAATGTAAATTTCCTCAGAAAAAAAGTCCCATCTACATTGTTAAGCCCTTTACCCAAAACCCACTATTTCTGTTTGAAGAGCAAGCACTTAATTTAAAAGAAAAAATAAGTTGAACATGGTCTAAAATTTAAAATTCTTCAAAAGTATTTAAAAAATAAGACAAATATTTTTTAAAAACAATTTTGGTTTTATTTTATAATCTGTATTATTTATTAAATAGTAATTTTTTTTAATTATCTAGGTATTATATTAAAAAGTAAACATTTATGGAGGGTATGTACTTTTTTAATAATATAAAATGAATCAATAAATATTTTCACCCAAGTTCAATGTTAGGGGTAATTATTTTACAATTAAACCAAAGAAAGTTATAAATCAATTGATTTCAAGCATTCAGCTTTTCAATGAGACAAAAAAAAACAGCAAAGATATTTGATATAATTAAAATGGTAGTAATTTTATCTTTAAAAAAATGTTATTTTTTAATTATATCTTTGATAAAGGTATGTTTACCTTCTGAATTTATTTTTCACATATATTTACAAACAAAAATACTGTCTATTTTTATCCATATTTTAAATCAGTCAATAACGACTGATATAAATTATATCAACCGATTTACATTTTAGATGATTTTAATGGCCAAAAAACAAATCTATTAAACCATGACTTATATTAGCGAAATTGTTTTCTATGGTTAAAAGCAAATGTCTCAAATTTCAAATAAATCTTTTAAAACATTTTAATTGTTTTATGTCTAATTTAAAATGGCAATGTATAGAAATAGATAATTACCCAATTTATTTTACAAAACAGTTTTTAAAGAAAATTACTACGTTGCCATATCGTTCAAAAACCTATATCCACTGATATGCGTAAATCAGTTGATATAAATAAATCAACGTTTCTGCATACGGCCCTAAATGTAATAAAATGACCACCTCTCTAAAAATATAATGTGATTTTTAAGTTTCGCAAGGCAAAAATACATCAGATAAAAATAGTGGCATCGAATGTACATTTTGGCTGAAAACCAGTGTAATCTGCAATGCATTTTTTATCTAGAAATACTAATTGAAAAAGCTTGTAGTAAAAACCAAACTTCCTACCTGAAGCATAATTCATAAAATAAACATCTATTCCATTTAAATATATCCCAGATAAAATAATGCCTGCCATTATAAAATATCTAATACCACCTTGGCGAAATAGTTACCTAATTACTAAAATTAACTCCCTAGATGTATCTAACTAATTATGAGGTTAATAGTAATATTTATTAAGTTTGTTTCTCAACACTTGCTAATTATAATTTATTTAGAAACTATTTTATGCCAATTACATTATTTTTTGAACAAAACTAAAGAATATGTTTATTTCTTGTATGACAACATACAAATTAATATTCGTTTATTAATTAACATAAAAACAGTAAAATCTGTTGAAATGAATTTTCTTTCTTAAGTAACTCAGGTATAATGTCTCAAATATTTCTCATATGAACTTTAAAGGCAAAATTAAATGTTATCAAAACAATACATAAATTAAATTGTTCGGTAAATGTTAAATAAAATTACAGATATCTACTACAGTAATCAGTAACATAATTATAATTATTTTATTTAAGCATTAAAAATTGACTCAAAAAAGCAAAATTAAAGACTACGTAAATTGTGGCCAGTTTTTGTGTGAAATTTGAATTAAAATGTGCATTTTGTTAAATTGGTGGTTATACAGGGTGTCCGGAAATAAAGTTAATATATTTCGGGGGTGATTCTACACAAATCGGTAGTACAATCTTCGAGCTTCTTGACTATTACCATTGGCCTTGCTATAGGTACATTAAATGCATTTTTGTTAGAAATTACAGTTTGCACTGATTTATGTTATGACAAACGATTTAACAAATGTCACCACTGACAAATTAAAGATATTTGCCAAATTTAATTTAATTTATACATTTATAAAAAAAACTATTTTTGACGAAAAAAAATTGCAACTTTCACTCAAACAGTTGACTTGGAGAAAGTTGACTGTAATACAAAAAATGAACTTGACCTACAGTTAGGGTTGCCAGATTCTGTCAAAAAAAATAAAGGACATTTTGTGTCTATTTTTTGTTTTGTTAATTATTTATTGTTGTTTCTGGGCTGAAACTTGTACCTATCAGTATTTACTGCCTTTCAGTCCTTTTTGCAGAATTGTGCAATTATGTTTTATTGTAAATCATTTATGTATATTTTTATTAATTTCTGCAAATAAATTATTATTATTATTATTATTATTACAAAAATGACACAATCAACAATACTTAGGTAACGTCAAATTCACAATTTGCATTGTTTTACTGTATAATTTTTGTAATTAAGGTAAATTCTCGCAAAATATACTTTTTGACAGAATCTGGCAAACCTACCTACAGTTCATTTTTTTTTATTTGGAATTGTGTTTTTTTATGGTTGGTAGCTTATGCCAGTTTATTTAGTATATTTATTATTTAAAAATGGTACTTCTGCAGAAGACCTTATAATTAATAATAATTAAATATAATTAATTATAATTAAATATAATTAATTATAATTAAACATAATTAATTATAATTAAATACTCTGACAATGTCAAATTGACAGTAATATTTATTATTGATAATTTACTTGTTAATTATTATATAATATCGATGTAAGATAACTTTGCCAAAAATAATATCAGATTTCAAAGTAAAAGAGCTTTTAAGGGCAAAACTTCATTTCGATGAAGTTATGCCAAATGCCTCAATGGCAGAAAAGGTACATCGCCTTATGGACATTTTTGGAATAAAAAAGTAACGTTTTTGGTTTTACAAATATTAAATTACACATTATTTTCAGCCAAGCAGATCAAAAATATTTTTAATTTTAAAAATAAAGGAGAAATAAAAAAGCAAAAAATAAAAGCTATTTGCTAGTGGTTAATTTTCCTGTCTTTGAAAATACCATCCATTTTATTTAAAAAAGATAAGCAATAATCACGAAACTTTTTCTTTTTTTAATTTGCAAGTTACTGACCATTAATAGTCCTGGACAATATACTGCCCAACTATGGAGAAAGGCAATAACTGTTAAACAATAAATCTGTGGAGAATTGGCATAAACTAAATTTTTATAAAAAGCAGTAGATATTTAATTGATTTATTTAACTTATAAGATAGTTGAATTAAGATACAAAATGTCCATAGCTTTATCATAGCACAAGAAAATGCATTAAGATTTTTTTGTAGTTACTGCCTTTCTCCATAGTAGGGCAGTACATACATTATAATTATTATTAAGCCACTACAAGTATTAACGCCCAGGGGCTTTAACAAAATACCCATTAACCATTGTGTGTTAACATAAAATTTTAATTTCTTTTATATAAATTCTTTTCAATGCGAAGAAAATTATCCGCTAGAAATACTAGGCCGTAGTCACCTATATTTAACTACTTTTTTATATGATTTTACTCCTCTACGCACCTCCAAAGCCAAATTAATTTCATTTTAACTACGAATTTTGACCTGTAGGTACATATATGTACCTACACTAATTTAAACATAACCACAATTACATTTATAACTAGTTTAGTTTTTTTTCAAACAATGCAACCAATTTTGGTTACGTATTTACCAACCAAACCCCTAAATTTGCAACGTTGTCGCAGTCCAGTTAAAAAAAGAACTTTAAGCACAAGGGGTTAAAACAAAATACGTACATTTTTGAAATTACTGTTGAGTAGTGTTACTTTTGTCCACATGATTTTTTTAAATATAATGTTGGTAAAACGGCAAATCGTTAAATAATTAACACATCAAAAATAAAAACACGCCGATTGTAAATTATAAATTAACAACACAGAAAAATTAACCATCAAGGTTTTTGTTTATCCTGATAACTATAATTAAAATTTGATTACACCTATTATAACTTCTTGGAAAATCTATGTATGTGTGTTGGTATTCATTGTTTTTTCTAACGTTTATTATTGGGAATTAAATATTTGTTTTGATTTTTAAAATCAATGAATTTGCTAGTTAATTATAAACACGAATAAATTTTATAATATGGCAATTTTTTAAGTAGTTCTTTATTAAATTTAGTTTTAAACATATCTTGTACCAATAATTATTATTAAAATTAATTTTTCTATACAATTCAAAAAATTTTAAATTTAAAATAATATTTGGAAAATAATAGTATATACATATGTACATGTATAGAAAACATAGTAGCAAATAATCTTCAAAGATACAAACGTATCTTCTACACTATAGAATATATGGCATAGAATAAGATGGAACAGGATAGAGCTTGCAGTGAGCTGTGTGCGGGTGGGGGATCCCCAGACGCAAATATATAAAACACGGTCTGCGTTGGAAGAGGGTCAAACAACAAGGTGCTTCAGAACTGTTTGTGACCTGTGTGAATCGATTGAGTTTCATCCTTCGAAAAAAATCAGGCATCCATACTGCAAATACCAAGTTAAGGTAGGTGAACACATTTTTTTTTGAGTTTAAGTGTTTTTGTGTCATTGTATTGAAAAAAATATATAAATATCAAATGTAATGTGGTTGGAAAAAATCTTTATATTACAATGTTTTTACTAATATTTTTATAAAATTTAATTATTTTTTTGATTTATTATTAAAAAAAATATGTTTTATTGAACATTTTTTGAAAATTATATTTTTATTTATAACATTAAATTTATTTAAAAAAAATGTTTTATTGAAAATGTTTTGTATATAAATATAAATATATATATTAATTGTAAATAAATATAAATATATTTTAATAATTGTCATTGTTACAAAAACATTTTGGGAGAAAATTTAACAGTGGAATAATAGTATTTTTATAATTATACAGATTTTATATTGCAAGTTACAGGTGGTTCAAATTAAAAAAAAAAATTGATTAACAACTTTTGAGAGATACCAAGGATATTTCCGAAGGGTTTTATAAAGAACGCATCTGAAAAAATATTTTTTTAAATTGTTGGTAAACAAAATTTTCTTCTTGCCTTTTTTTTTCTTTTCGTTTTGCCGTAATTAAACCTTTTGTATTTATAAATAGCAGCTCACCCAGGTAAATTAATGCAAAATAAGCTTAATTTATTATGCTATGATGCGGTCTAATAAAATGGCAGAATAAACATTAAAAATACGTTAACCATAGAGAAACCACATGACGTTAACAAATACTAAAAAACAAATCATTTTGAAAAGAGACCCCAACAGTGGATAAAACAACGAAACTTTTTTATACCTATAATTGTATTTTCTATCTTTTGATTAATTAATTGTATGTAAAAGGTTGGGTAATATAAATAAAAATAATAATGAATTACTCGTAAAAACTGACATGCAAATTCAATCTAATTAATAAAAGCACTTTGAAATTTTAATATTTTGCTTGTTAAAGACAGGAAGGTGTTCCTGGTTTTATTTTAATAAGAAATAATAGTTATTCAAGTGCATGTCTTGCAGATAATAAATTATACCTACACGTACAATTTTTTAAGTTTATCTACATGATGCAATCTCAGTTCTATTACTCACCTACTATACTTAAGTACGCAGTATCATAATATAAAAAGTAGAAATAACGTATATAAAAAAAGCTTTAAAATTTTATTAAAAATAGATATTTTTTAATTAAAAAAATTTGCAAATAATATTTTAGGTAATTTTTTATACTACTGCAGCAGATACAATACATATCCAAATTTCTAATGGAAAGACCCACATATAAATAATATTGTACAGTTATAAGCGTTATAAGAACCTTGCGCCAATTTTTTTTAATTGACATTGCAAAATTAAATTTAATACTAAACATTAAATTCAACACTAACATTATTAAGTTCAATGACTACAAACTTATAAATTCTAATAATTATTACCGGTCAGCAGGTGATTTTAAGACAAAAAAAGACAAGATACAGGGTGTTCAACTTTATTTTGTAAATTGTTTTTTTGTAAATATCTTAAATATCCTTTAGCCAATTTTGTTGCAATTTGGGGGATTAAATTTATCAAGTCCAGTGGCGTCACAATTTTTTTGTAATTTTTTTTTTCGAAATAAGCAGCTAAAAATACATCTTGATTTTTTTTAGAAAAAATAAAATAATAGCATATGCCTTGCATTAGAGTGAATTTTATTTTTTTCTCTACAACTAGGCAATATACGATGAAAAATCAGGAGACAACAAAGTTGTAATTTTAGTTGCTTAATCTAAAAAATATATTAAAATTACAAAAAGTCAGTAGCATAAGGTTTTTCGTTAAGGTTTATCAAAGTTAAACAAAGCATGTTTATATGAATTTTTTGTATTAAAATCACCCTAAAAATAGTCTGTTAAATTTATTGTACATACTTAAGTAACACATATTTGTACGCAGTTCAAAAGTCAAATTATTATACACCGCCGTATAATAATGAAATTACATTGGAGAGTGGTTCCATCTATCGCGTTTACCTCGAAATCAGCAAATAAATTGTAAACTTATTGGTATAGTTTATAATAAACTCGTGTACAGGGTGATTCCCTATAATGTCGCCCCCCTTTAACTTTTTTATTTTACGTGTCCCAAAAAATTTAAAAGTGTGGTAATAAGTTGAAATAGTTTGTCTTTCTCTGTCTGAGTACGCCATTTTTACTTATTTAACAAGACATATTGACATAATGTCACTATAGTAATTTATTTTCAATAAAAATTTTGATACTGTCTTGATTTCTAACAGTTTAAAAAAACATTTAATGATAACATTTCGAATGCGAATATTTCAGATACGGTTGAGTTTAGGTATATGGTTTGTTATATGAATTATGCTCAGAATTTTACAAGGAATCGAAAACTAAATTCATATATAGGGTGATCCATTAAAACAAAAATAAACTTTTTGTTTTTCCTTGTATATTGGAGAATTTTCCATTTTTTTATACATACCTATAAAAAAAGTATTTTTTAGTAACTACATAACCACACTTTTAATTTTTTTTGGGACACTTAAAATAAAAAAAGTTAAAGGGGGGAGACATTATAGGGGATCACCCTGTAAATAACCTATAATATATCACATGTTAAACGTCAAACCTGACAAATTGTCGCAAACTCGATAATTTCAATATAAGTAAAGAATTACTAAATGCTTAAAAAAATTATATACAACACAAAACAAATTTTAGCTAAATATCTTATTTAACAATATTCGTATTAACCTTATTTACAATTGCAATTTTATACAAAAATACCACAGTTCTGGATTTCTAATAAAATTATTTATTATAATAATTATCGTAAATGACTCGATACAAATATTTGAAATAACAATCTTGTGAATAAACTTTATAATAAAAAGCTATTATAGGTAATTTACAATAGAAATACCGCAAATATTTATCGTAACTTTTATAGTTGCAAAAAAATGCCCATATCTTCGAGTATTTTTTAAAAGCAACATAAGATAACAAAAATAGATAATTGCAAATTTCCCAGCCTCCTCGCTGGTCGTAGTTGCGCCTAATGGCCTTAGGTCTGCGAAGCTTGCGGGCTGTTGAACCCGAGTAGCAACCGGTTAACCGGTCGCTTCGTTTTATAGACGCCAATTTTATCTACTAACATCTTACGTCTTAGAAAGACGAGTTTTTACGTCGATTTTGTTTTTCCTTTTTTTCTTCTTCTCGTCCGATCTCCGCTTTTTCTAATTTATTGGCTTGTTATTGCCAGTTAAGGGGCGGTGTTTGTATTTAAAAAACGGTTTTATAGGCAACGTTTAACATAATTCAACCACTTGAAAACAAAGAACAATTGATGGTCTCTATTTATGGGAATTTAAATAGTACAGTATAAGATTAGGTTTAACTCTCATAAGAGAATTAAGAAAAATTAAATCGTTTCTTCGGTCATTATCCAATTGTGTTAATAAAAAGGGCTATGCAATAAAGACAACCAAAATCGGTTGATGACCCTCCAAATTTGGACAACAAGGATCAATGTACCCAAATTGAATTAGCTAAATTGAATGATTGAGTAAAAAAGATTTGTGAAATAATTAATGTTGATTTTAAAAGGCGCCAAGTTTTAAAGCAGGAACTATCCAATTGTTTCTATGCAGTTCTAAAAAATGACCATTAAAATTTCTTTAAATTACTAGGATACTTAGGATGCATTGTTGGTATTATAATATGTAAAACATTTGGTCAACCGCAATCCACATTGTGACACTGCTGTCAATTTTTGTTCCTGTCATTATTGATCATTTTTGTCCTCTGATTATGCCGAAATGATTATTTATGGGTAATATGGGTGCAATGTTAGGGAGTCAGCACGAGTTTTTTTCCCGAAAGTCCCCGTATTAGAACAGCGAAAAATTCAGAAGCTATTTTCAATGCCTTTGATACAAATAGTAGGAAGAGCATAAGGGAAGTTGCACGCGAATTTCCGTTGTTCTATCGTCTCCCAGCAATGTTTAAAGCATTGGCTGTCGCTTTTTTGCTCATTTCTCAATTTTCTTACATTTGCAACAATTACTTTTAAAACTTTAACACCAACATTAACGGTTTTTCTTGTTTTCAGAATGAAATTGTTAGTAGTACTCTGTCTGGTGGCAACTGCCCTGGCTTACCCAGTCGACCTACCGGAAGAAACTCCCCTAGCTATCCCGGAACTCGGCACCGCAGTGAAAGCGGAAGAAATCGCTGTGGTGGAGAAGAAAGTCGAAGAACCCCAATCCGACGAAAGCCTGTCGTCTTCATCCGAAGAAGACAAGAAACCGGAAGTAGCGTTGCCAGCCAAATTGGCCGAGGAAAAACCAATCCCGGAAAAACCCATATTGAAAACCGAGGAGAAGTTGGAAAAACCCAGGGCTGAAGAGAAGAAGGAAAAACGCGAGGAACCCAAACTCGAAGAACCACTCAAACCGGAAGAGAAGAAGGAAATCGTCGAAGTCAAACCTGAGGAGAAAATCGAGTTGAAACATGTGCCGGTAGAGGAGAAAGTCCCGGAAAAAATCGAGAGTGTGGTACCACAAGTGAAATCGATCGCACCGGAACCAGTGCGCGAAGTCAAACCGGAAAGTGAAGTAAAAACACCGGAAGTACCAGCCGTCGCCGAACCAATCGCACTCCCCGCCTTGAAATCCGCCAAACCGGAAGGAGTAGCCGCCGAAATCAAGGAACAAGTTGTTTTACCGAGCGAACAAAAAGTCGAGGTGGTTCCGGTTGCCGAGGAAAAAGTACCGGAGTTGAAATCCGCGGAAAAAATCCCGGAAGCCATCCCCGAGAAGCTTGAAGAGAAGAAAACCGAAGTCGTCGTCGAATTGGAGAAGAAATCCAAAGCCGAAGCCATCATCCCGGAAGTAAAGCCGGAAGAGAAACTCCCAGAGAAGATCGAAGAACCAAAGTTGGAGAAAATCGCTGAGAAACCAATCGAAGGCAAATCCGAACCACTTCCGGTAGAGCCAATTGTCAAAACCAACACCGAAGTCAAAGAGGAAGTAAAACCGGAAGTAAAGTCCGAGTTGAAACCGGAAGAAGTCAAACCAGCGGAACTCCCCAAGAAGGAGGAGGCAGCCAAATTAGAAGAAAAACCTTTGGAGATGCCGGAAAAACTCCCTGAACCCAGTGCGAGCTCCTAGATTTACTGAAAATACGAAACGAAATCAAAAAAAAAAATAAGAAATGACTGAGGAGGTTTGCTTAGCCCTATTGTTTTCACCCACTTAAGATTTTCTATTTTTTAAATAATAATAATGAATGAATCGAAAATGACTGGGCCAACCGGACCTCGGCTAAAATAGATGTAATTTTTATTTATGTGCTCAACTTACTACAGGTTATCAAACGCCGAATCGCTGTGTTTTGTTGTAAAAACCATTGTTTTTTATTTTAAAAGTTGAAATCTTGTCAATATCTCGAGCGAATCATTCTATTTATCTAGTGTAATTGACACACTGCGTAGATTGTTGTTGCTCCGATCTACAATTACTACACCTAGGTATAAATTTTTAACGATAGGTATTTTATTGTATTCAAAGCTTTAAATAAAGTTTTATACATAGTTTGGTTTTTGATTATTTATCCCTTTGACATCCCTTCGGGAAAGTTCAAGTACAGTTCATTTTTTTTATTTGGACTCGTGTTTTTTTATTAAGTTGGTAGCTTATGCCAGTTTGATTTAGTATTTAAAAAATGGTAATTCTGCTCAAGACCTTAATTAAATACAAATTGAGAGTAATATTTATTTTTGATAATTTACTTCTTAATTATTATAAAGGGTGTATCAATAAGAGCGCAAGATTTCAAAGTTTACTAAACATGGTTTTAAGTATTAAAGCATTAAAATATTTATTGATTTATAAAGTACACATTTGGAAATTATGTATAAAATAACACATCTGGTAAATGGACACCACGGCTTAACTGGCACAAGCGTATTCTTTTGGCAAAATTTGCAATAACATTATTGAATACATGTGGCAGTATTTCGTTGATAGAGCGTCTAATTTCTGCTTTTAAGGCTTCGATGGTGGCGGGCTTGTTGGCATAAACTTGTGACTTCAAATAACCCCACAGCCAAAAGTCCAAGGGTGTTAAATAGTGGTGAAAATGGGCCTCATCACTGAAAATGATTTTGTCCGCAAAATCGGCATTCACTTCTTGCTGCTCAAGGATCCAATTGGTGAACTCTCTTCGCTGTTCATGGTCTTTTGGCTGGAGTTGTTGAGTCAATTGGACTTTCTAGGCATGAAGATGCAAATCTTCAGTAAGAATTTGCTGAATAGTGGCTTTTGTAATGTCCAATTCTTGTGCCCGATGGCAAATCGACGTCTCTGGACTATCGGCCACACTCTCGCGAACTGCTGCGATATTTTGTTCTGAACGAGCTCGTGTCGTGTGTTTCACATTACTAACCGAAGCAGTGATTTCAAATTTTTCGATTATTCTTTTCACAGTAGATGAATTAGGAACATTATTTCGAAAAAATATTGGACGCCCTTTACGAATCGTGGCAATCAAACTTTCATCATTTTGTTTTAGTGTTTAACAATCAGGACGGGTTGTTCTATCGTGTAATGCTCTATATTTACTAACTCCCGTCTGTCTCCTATCAATCTGTCATGTCATTAATCATGTGACATCATGGTTGCCAAACTGAGGCGAAATTCAAATCTTGCGCTCTTATTGATACACCCTTTATAATATCGATATAAAAAGATAACTATGCCAAAAATAATATCAGATTTTAAAGTAAATTCAAAACTTTATTTTGATGAAGTTATGCCAAATGCCTCAATGGCAGAAAAAGTACACTGCTTATGGACATTTTTGGAGTCAAAAAGTAACGTTTTTGGTTTTACAAATACTAAATCAAACATTATTTTCAGCTAAGCAGATCAAATTTTTTTGAAATTTAAAAAAAGGGGGAAATAAAAAAAAAACAAAAAATAAAAATTATTTGCTGTTAGGTTCGACCTTTTTGTGAAAAATCTAGTAGTTAATTTTCCTGTCTTTGAAAATATCCATCCATTTGGTTTAACTTTTTCTTCTTTCAATTTGCAAGTTACTGATCATTAATAGTCCTGGACAATATACAGGGTATCCCACAATTAGTGCGACAAAATGAAGGTGTATTATCTACAGACCCCCAGGAATTCCAGAAAATTGTTTAAAAAATTCTTCCGTCATTATTTAAAAAGATACAGGGGAGTCATATTTTCTTTATATGGCAACATTGCCTCAAAAAAAGGGGATAGTTTAATTCTTAATCATCATGTTAACATTGTTGTTTGTTGTCATGATGATTAAAAATTAAACTATTACTTTGTTATGAGGCAATGTTGCCATACAAAGAAAACATGACTCCCCTGTATCTTTTTAAATAATAAAGGAAAAATTTGTTAAACAATTTTCTGGAATTCCTGGGGGTCTGTAGATAATACACCTTCATTTTGTCGCACTAATTGAGGGACACCCTGTATAATTATTATTTAGCCACTACAAGTATTAACGCCCAGTGGCTTTAACAAAACTTCTATTAACCATTGGAGTCCAATGATTAGACAACATAAAATTTTAATTTCTTTTATATAAATTCTTTTCAAAGCGAAGATTTATATTATCCGCTAGGAATACTTTGTCTCTCCTAGGCCGTAGTCACCTATATTTAACTACTTTTTTATATGATTTTACTTATCTACGCACCACCAAAGCCAAATTAATTGCATTTTTAACTACGAATTTTGACAACTCAACTTGACAATCATTCAATATACCTACACTAATTTAAACATAACCACAATTACATTATAATTAGTTTAGTTTGTTTTAATCAATGCAACCAATTTTGGTTCCGTATTTACCAACCAAACCCCTAAATTTGCAACGTTGCCGCAGTCCAGAACACAGTTTCTCGAAAAACTTCTTTCGTTCCTTCATAATAAGTAGATTTAATGTACTAAATAATAAAGTAGCTATAATTAGCCAAATATTCCTTGTCTATGATTGCTCCCTGACTTCCATTAACATTTATAATCTGTGCTGACTTCCAATGACAGCAAATACGGTCAATTTTAAAATGTTAATGCTTTTACAATCCACACAACAAAGTTCTATCTTGTTTCGCGCATTCTAAAAGTCACGAAGTTACCTCAAACCCACTTCACAGAGATTAACGGCGGCCATTTTTATGTTGTATTTTTATATTCTTTTTTATGTTCTATTTTTATTTCCTTTCTATTTTTTATATTTTTATATTCTTGTGCTTTGGGTTTGTGCTGTTATTAGAGGAGTGTTTCTTACAGAGGCACTTGTAAGCCTCAAATGAGACCTTAAAGGGACTAAGAACAACCACTTTACTCCTCTTTTGTAAAAATAATAGTAGTAACAAGTTTGGAATACAGCATATTCCGCTCGAGTGAAGAGTTTGTCACACGAGCCGAAGGCGAGTTTGACGGTTTCACGAGAGCGGAATATGCAATTCCAAACGTGTTTTAGACTATACTTTTTCTACGTTTCCAAAAAATACCATAGAAAAATAATTTAATTGGAAGAAATTGGAAGAAAGTGAGGTTAGATCGGTATAAAATTTGTTAGATATTAAAAACAGAGATGTCGCCACGAGTGTTTATTCTGTAATCGGATGATAGAATATTTTATTCTGTAGCACTTTACGGCATTTATGTCATTCCATAGACAAAAGTGATATTAGAACGGTCAAATTCCGTAATAGGAGTAGAATAGTATATTCTGTAACAAGTTTGGAATACAGCATATTCCGCTCGAGTGAAGAGTTTGTCACACGAGCCGAAGGCGAGTTTGACGGTTTCACGAGAGCGGAATATGCAATTCCAAACGTGTTTTAGACTATACTTTTTCTACGTTTCCAAAAAATACCATAGACAAATAATTTAATTGGAAGAAACTGAGGTTGGATCGGTCTAAAATTTGTTAGATATTAAAAACAGAGATGTCGCCACGATTGTATATTTAGCATATACTTACTTAAGTATATAATATTTAGTCATCAGATGATAAAATATTTCATTCTGTAACACTTTACGGAATATATGTCATTCCATAGATAAAAGTGATATTAGAAGGGTCAAATTCCGTAATAGGAGTAGAAAAAAACCTTATTCTATCAGGGCTGTCATCAAACTGTTAAATGTAAATTTTAAGGTTAATTTACCATAACCCACAAATTTACCATTCCTACAAATTAACCTTAAAATTGACATTTGACAGTCTGATGACATCCCTGATAGAATAAGGTTTAGTTTTTACAAAAGGGGAGTAAAATGGTTGTCCTTAGCTTACAAGTGCCTCTCTAAGAAACACAACGTTTAAAACCATTTTAAATCTGTATTAACATAAAGTGACCATCCGTCCCGATTTAGGCGGGACAGTCCCGATTCTGAGCTAAGGGTCCCGATTTAATAAGCGTCCCGCTTTTGTCCCGCTTTCAATAAATTCAGACTATTAACTTTTACTCTAATTGTTTAGAATATTTAAGCCAGTACAGTAGTAAAAAAGCTCCGACATGGGAACAAGTACAAAAAAGTTTTGAGTTTTTTTTTAAATTCCCCAAATGCACCATAGTTTAAAATGATTTATTTGATGAGACTCAATATGTTCATAATTATGTTTCTGAGAGTAAACTTATTTTTTTTACATTCCTTTCAATAATATTTTAAAATTAGTACAATATATATTATGCTTACCCGGTACAAACGCTTCTACCGAACGGGTTTTTTCTATGATTAATAAAATTTGGACCACCGAAAAAACTAATTAGTCTGTAGAAACTTTAAAAGCTTTAGTGACTATTAAATATAATTTTAAAGGAGACTGTTTGAGTTAAAAAATAAGCCCCTATTAAAAAAATTCATCAAAATGAAAAATATAAATAAAAATCTTATACCTAGGTATTAAAAATTTAAAATCAGAATACTGATTGTCGTTTTTACTTGTAGTTTAAACTTTGTTTTTTTTTTGTATTTCATTATATATTTTGTATAACTACTTAGTATTTTTTATTTATCAGTACCCTAATTCTAAATTGAAAATAAAAACAAGATTTTTGACCATTTTGTAACTTTGTCCCGCTTTTGGACTTTTAGGATCTGGTCACTTTATATTAACACCACAAACCCGAAGCACAAGAATTGTTAACAACATAAAAATGGCCCCGTTCGAGTCTGTGCAGTGTTGCAGTGATTTTTAGTATGCAGACCTTGTTGTGTGGATTGTGGTTTGTTTACCCTTTGTTATTACATGGAAAACAAACGAATTTTCAGGAATATAGGAAATATCAAACAAAAATTGTCATTTCCAAACGAAATCCTGGACCAAACAAACTATTATCGACGAGACGTCTATACCTTCTCTTGTCTATGGTTGCTCTCCGTCTCGATCATATAGTCTCCATATGAACAAAATACTGTCAAATACGTTTGAAATATTAAAAATGCTTTCATATTTTAAACCGATAATATCACTATTAATGGTAATCTTGGAATTGAGCCTTTCTGAGGGTCGGTTTGACTATTGCCAGCGCAACTGCACCGATATCAGAAGTGGTAAGAAAACAGGAAATTATCTTTGTAATAACCGATGTCGTCCCGACTTTAACTGCCACATGGAGAAAATGGACGTAGATAGGCGTCAAATGATGGTCGACATAATGAACACCTTAAGAAATGAGGAAGCAGGAATAAAAAATTTGTCCGACATTGATGTTGTCCACTACGACATGGAGCTGGAGTATTTGGCGCAGTGTCTTAACAACCAGATTGAAAGCCGGCACAAGGGACACTGTATACAATTATTCAAGTCGAAATTCCCATTCATGATACCTATTAATAAAAACAGAACAAGTTACGACGAGAAAGAATTTTTTAACAAGGCAGAAATAGAGCAAAAAATACGAGGGGACTGCAGTAAATCTAGAGATATATGCATCTATATCAAACCAAGTAACAATAAAATCGGTTGTTCCTTCAACACTAGGGTGTTTAATCCAGGTTACACGGTGGAGTATTACTTTCTGTGCACATTTCCCGATATACGCCCCAATGCAAAAAAACAATGGAAGCATGGTCCGCCGGCCTCCAAGTGTCCTCCTCGCCAACCCCAACGCAACGATAAATATCCAAACTTGTGCGGGAAACTCTGGCCTATGCCTAGCGACCCATCCGGGTCTTTGATATGGGAAGGACCATCGGATGAAGAATACTTGGCATACAAGGATGTTCCAGATGACGTCTATGTGGAAGATTACGAAGAAACTGAACAAGTTTTTAATAATAACACAACCCCCCGAAACACCAGCTCATCCTCAGCCAGTCTTTGTTTAAAACACTGCTTGTTTTTGGGAGCTATGTTGTTAATTATATACCCCCGAAAATCTTTCCTTCCCTCGCCCAAGTAGATTCAATGTACTAAATAATAAAGTACCTAGTTATAATTAGCCAATTATCCTTTGTCTATGGTTGCTCCCTGACTACCCATGACAACAAAATACTGTCAATTAATTTTGAAATGATAATGCTTTTACAATTCACAGCGGCCATTTCTATGTTCTTTAATATTCTTGTGCTTTGGGTTTGTGCTTTTATTAACGTAGTGTTTCTTACAGAGGCACTTGTACAGTCGTATACAAATAAAAAGCGTACAGTCATTTAACTGACGGCTGGTTTACATCTACGGAACTGTATTTTTTATAACCCAACTCGCCATGGCGAGTTGGGTTATAAAATATGCATATTTGACAAGTGCAGTACCTCTCATTCTAAGCCCTATTAAAAATGCCCTATAGAACCCATATTGATCCAGATAAGGAAACTAATATGGATTTATATGGTTCTATATGTCCTATATGGAACGTTTACACTTTGGAATCTATATGGTTTAATATGGAATTTCATTTTAAAATGTACAACTTAGGGATTTTTATATGGATTTATCTGGTTTCTGTTTTATGTGTTTTTCCATATAGGTTTCCCTATATGGTTGAATATGGAATTACATTTTAAAATGTATATATAATTGCATATTAAACCATATAGATTCCCCTATATGGTTAAATATGGATCTATTTGGTAATAATTTTTTCACACCCAAACCATATTGGGCCAGATAGAGCAATATGAACCTATATGGCAATCCATATAGAAATCCCTTTTCTATATGGTTTTCCAGGTATGGAATTCTATCTGGTTCAATAGTGCAATGCCTGTTTCAAATTCCTATATTGAACCAGATAGATTTTTATTTTGTGTTTCTATATGGCATTTTTAATAGGGAGGCTGTACGCTTTTTATTTGCATACGAGTGTAAGCCTCAAATGAGACCTTAAAGTGCTAAGAACAACCACTTTACTTCTCTTTTCTAAAATTTAAACCTTATGATTTATTATGATAATAATATTATCTTTGAACCTTATTCAATTAGGGCTGGCATCATACTGTAAACTATTAATTTTACGGTTAATTTACCATAACCCACAAATTACGCTGTGACTAGAGGCACGCTAACGTGCCGCGATTCGAAATGTTAACGGCACGTTAGTTACGTCATAATCCCAAACCATCCCAAACTCAACAACACAACCAAACCGACCCCGTTCCATAAAAAAAATAAAAAAAAGTTCGACAACTTCTTAGTATCGAACCCGGGAACTCTCGCATGCCAAGCGACCGCCCTACCATATGAGCTATCTAGCTTAATGTCAAATATTAAACGCTCGGATAATTATGACGTAACTAACGTGCCTTTAACATTTTCAATCGCGGTACGTTAGCGTGCCTCTAGTCACTGTGCACAAATTAACCTTAAAATTGACATTTGACAGTTTGATGACAGCCCTGATAGAAAAAGGTTTATTTTTTCCAAAAGAGGAGTAAAATGGTTGCCCCGAGGGGTAAACCACTGATTGTCTAGGGGAGTCATGCGCGCGCTAAGAGAAATTTCTTATTGATATGATTTTTCCTTATTGATAACAACTGATAAGGAACCCGAAACCTTTCGGGTGTTACAACTTTTTTCATATGTTGATATATGTGTGTGTATTGCTTGAAGAATGCAATAAGTACCTATTATTTTTAAGGCTCTTTCGACGGCCCACTAGCCCAGCCATCTGAAAAGCAGTCGCATCTCTTTTAAACTTGTGCAAAAATTGTGTATCTTTTTGGAGCACATATAAATATATTATTATTATTATTATTTTCCGATGGTGTCGAACCTACCGAAATTTTAGTGGTTCTACCTAAATGGCAACGGACCTACCAAAATACTGAATACTTTTCGTCAATAATTGTTTCTACCGATTTTTTTTATCGATTTTTGGCAATAATACCGATTTTACCCTTTTTTACGATTTATCAATCGCATCCGAAGTTGCTTAAGTTATGTTTAAGGAGAATTCATTATATTTATGTTTATTTGTTACTAACTTATTTTGTAGTACCTAAAGACTAATAAAACACCGATTTTGTCCATATAAAGTGTTTAATTTTTGTACTTGTAACACCCGAAACAAAGAAAATTTTTATAAAAAAATAATAAAACGTTATTTGTGACAGTGATTATGTGGTAGATAGTTAGTTAATATTATACTTTTGGAGGCCTGTAATTTTTAGGAAAGTTTCCCTAAGAAAATTGGCTAAATTTCAAATAAATGTGACAATTGTCAGGACATAGAGGCAGAATCGTGAAACAACCGAAACGCACACATTTTGACTTATAAAATCGTTATCCTATATGCTAAACTGTACTAATTTTACAATTTAGATAAATCAACTAAAAACGTAGAGAATAAGGCACTTTAATTGTTGAAATATTAACACCCAAAACGATGGAATGACCCTAGAGTTGTAACGAAGTTTGGTCGAAAATTGGCAAAGCGTTTTTAATGCAGGTTGATCCAAATTTAGCAAATATATTTGCCAAATTTGATAATTGATCAGCATGGAAAAAGAATTAGTTTACTATGCGGAATGGCGAGTTAAAGGTACGTTGCAGTAAATTAATATTTCAAGACCTTCTCGACAAAAAGGCATGTGTGAAAGTTATTACAAAAAAATATAATCATCCGTGCACTAACTAAATGTGTGGTAAGTTTTAAACGGCTTTAAATTTTAAGTAAGTATGTTATGTTTTCAAGCTTTTTAATAAATAATCCAATTATTATACAATTTCTTACTTTTCGTTTGTTATTCCCCCGTTAATTTTGAAGTATTATAAATTTACACTTGTAGTTCTATATTATGTAGGTACTTATTTTTTGTTCATTGTTACAGATTTTCATCTCGTTGCATGAAGTTGCAGTAAAGAAAAAGAACTGCCTTTTTCTAAGTAAATGGTGTTTATGCGTATAAGCAGGACAATTTAAAAATAAATTTTCTACCTATATGTCACAGAGGAGAAAGAGGATTTATTGGGTTTAAAGATCTATAGTGATCTGAAGTGAGCAAGGTAATTGTAACTTTTGCATTGAATTAAAATATTGATTTCTTTTTTCATTTAAGAAGTTCTTCATAACATATAAAGTTACCAATCACAAACAATTTTACAATAATTCTTAATGTTAAATAAAACATAATTCTTGATAGCCTTATCGTAATTCTATTTGTCTCATGTATTATAATACATATAAAGGTATTTTTTCTAGAGAGTTTACATGAACAAGAGAGATTTCCTCCTCCTGGGGCTGTAGAGTTTCAGAGGTCCTTTGACGTGGCCTTGGACAATGCCAAGCAACGTGCCAGAAATCAAAGAAAATTTATTTTACAAAACAAATTAAAAAACTTTTCTTAGGATTCTTCATAAAAAATAATATTTTTTTCCATTTTTTATTAATTAAATAATTTTTTATTATAACGGATTTGTCTAAATATATATTATTCAAAAGCCCAAAATTAAACTAACGGTAACCTACCCAACTTAATCCAAACCGCTTTTGCATATTATTTAAGGAATTGCATCTCACCCAATTATGATAATCTATTTAAACTAAAAATGGGTTCTGCAGATTTTGAAATACTTGAAAAAATGACTTTTGTCTAGCTATAACAGAATTGCAAAGTGAATCACTGCGTATCAGCAGCACTGGCAGCAAAAGCAGGAGATCAAAGACCTAAGGAATGTTGCAGAGTAGGTAGAGATAAGTCCAGGAGACTTCCACACTAGCGACTAACAAACTAACGATTTTTTTGTACCTTCTTCTTCTCGCGTTTCAAGAAAAAACGAAGAAGAAAAATTCTCCTCGCCGTCGCGAACAAGTAAGAGTAAGCAGTTTTCTGCTGTTTTAAAGAACGTGTTTTTGTCATCGTTTTATTACCCATCCAGTTGGCCATTAGACAATTTATGGCCGGCAGTTAAATGCTCGGTTGCTTCGTTTCTTGGTTCGCAAAATCTTCATGTGCTCAAGTTTATGGTCGTTGTGCCCTCGGAGGGATAACAATTCTTTTTTCTCTTTTTTTAATTTTCTTATTTTGGGTTATCAATTTTTTTAGATTATTCACAAAATACAGTCGTGTCAATTTAAATTCTCTTAAAATTAAGATCAACTTTGACAGTCTGTATACAGATTATAGTTTTGTTATTTTTTATCCAATTTAAGCAATAATTACTATAATTACAGTTCATTTTTTTTATTTGGTTCAGTTTTTTTATTAAGTTGGTAGCTTATGCCAGTTTGATTTATTATTTTTAGTATTTAAAAAATGGTACTTCTGCTGAAGACCTTAACTATGGTTTCGCGTAAAAATCGAACAAATTTTGGACATTTGTTTGCAAGTGATGCCAGAATTGAATATATTTTTTAACCTTGTTTCTACATCTAAATGGTGCATTAAAAAAAAAATTTATCCATTGACCGCCGTGGGTTTTAGGCCTTAAGTCACTCTATTGTGTTAAAAATAGATAAATTTCGTCATTTTTATTTAAAAACGTATCGATTTGGAATTAAGACAAAATGTAGACCTTATTAATGGCAATAAATCCACGTATAATTTTTTTTAAATTTTATCATACAGGGGGCGCTGGGGACAATTTAATTTAAAATTTTACCATTTTTTAAGGCTTAAAAAGTCGAAGAAGCAACGTTGTTTTATAATTTTGAGTATATTACGTTAAAGTACTGATAATTAACTATTATTTGATATATAAACTTTTATATGCAAATTAAGTTTCTACGAGATACACCATTTTTAAGTTAGGCCTTCAATGGGCATATGAAGGTCGGGGAATTCTGCGCATCTAAGCAAAATCTCTAGTATCTTTGTTAAGTTTAAATGTGAAATTTTGCAATTAATACCAGCGATAGTCTACTATGTTTACTATGTGTATATAATGCGCAATTTATAAAAAAAAATGTTTGGTATGCAAAAACTACATTTTTTTAAATAATGCATTTGGGCAAAATTACCC